ACACAGTGGTATTTATTGTTCAATCTGAAAAAGAAAAATTTAATTTATTATACAGTTTGTTTTTCCATTAACCTAGCTGACACTCTTGGCTTGTAAATGAAACCGCCAGGAACATTAACTGTCAGGCTATGTGTCTCCTATAAAGTGATTTGTATCAAGATCACGCTTATCTAGGTGCAGTCGAAGCTCATTGCTGATCTGACAGATGTGCAGCAATGCTGTTACAATGTCACTGTCCTATCACCTGAAAGATGGCTCACTACCTGGATACTGCATTGAGTCCTTGTGTTGGTCCTGTCAATGGAAGTCCTTCATAGGCTTACCTAGTTTTACTTTGGAAAGCTATTCAATTTATTATCTCTTATTGCATGATTTATTTATTTTAATAATGCATTTTAAGTTATTTATGTAGAGTCACATTCTCCTTAAGATTTATATATATATTACGAATTTCCATCTTGTTTGCACATAGCCTCTGTGGTAGGCTCACATGATTAGCAGAAAAGAACAATTATATCACTTAAAGGCAACTCAGATCGGATTTTCTTTGCCCAATGTTTGCGATTTAATGACTTTATTTCTGAAAGTATATATTACGAATATTACAGGTACAAACGATGGTGTTTTTCCATTCTTTTAAACCACACGTGTGCATGCAAAAAGAAAGCCGGTCAGTGGAAAATAAATAAAAATATAAATACAAATAAAATATAAGAACATTTTCTGCAATTTAATGATAGTGAAAATATCAGATAGGAATGATTAAACCAATGCTAGTTAACCTATCATGTCATTGGCAAAATACTATTACTGATAGTGAGTCCTGAAAGATACAAATAAATTGGGAACTAGCTAAAATATTCACTTTTTATCCAGCTATTATATTGCAAGGCACACATAATTCACAAGTACAAACAGGTTTGTTCTCTATTATTGGGTCATATGAAGGGACCCATGTAAAAAAAAGATAAAAATATATTTATTTAAACAGATCTAACCCTGGATGGGGTCATTATACAGTCAGCATGGAGGAGGGACCAATAGATAATTGGCATTTGGGAGTGAAGCAAATAAACTACATCGGCTCTGGTTAGTTTTGAGAGGACTAGGTGTGAGATGTTCGCTGTAAATCATCTATTTTGATAAACCATTGGTAGAGTACTGATAATACAAGCTCATTTGCAAGGTACATAAAACATGATGTTTGATGTTCCTTCTATTTAAAAAAAATAAAATACAAAATGTACTTTACTGATGCATGGAATAGCCTTCTAACTGAAGTGGTAGAGGTTAACACAGTAAAGGAGTTTAAGCATGCGTGGGATAGGCATGAGGCTATCCTAACTATAAGATAAGGCCAGGGACTAATGAAAGTATTTAGAAAATAGGGCCGAATGGTTCTTACTTGCCGTCACATTCTATGTTTCTAACATTGTAGGAATTAATTTATCTTTTTTGAACTGTAATTTAGTAAAATGCTTTTTGTGAGCAGGATAGATCATATCCATGATCTAATAAAATCTCCATCTATCTTTTACCAGGAAAACTTTCACTGGAGGAATTTATCAGAGGGGCTAAGAGTGACCCGTCCATCGTTCGTCTCCTTCAGTGTGACCCGAGCAGTGCTGGACAATTTTGAACATGTTTGGATGAAATACAGTTCAGCTTTTTACTTTTTGTTTTATTTTATTTTGCCAAAATTACATTTGTCATGGTGTAGGCTTCGTACAGCCAAACATCTTTTCCTTCTGTGGTATATTTTGTTTCCGATAATTAAATGATGCATTTTTGTCAACATTTTGATTGTGCAGGACACTGGCTCTGCTACAGCATCTGGGCTTTCCTGAAATTTTATTGTAGTCTATAAAAAGAACATGGAAAATACGAACGTTTTATATATGCCTCATTCTTCTACTTGGCTGCAAAACATTATAGCCGTTTTTGGTTAACCTTTTAAATGCTGGAAGGCTGGCCATCAAAAGGCAGCATAACACTGGCACTTAAACGGTTAAAATGTAGTTCATGGGAAAAAGTATGTTTTTTTTATAATCTAAAGTCAACCTTCTGTAGTATTGTATAACTGGTTAAAAAAGAAGGAATGTACATGTGTGAAAATTGAAGTGCATTTATAGGACAAAGCAACAACAAATTGTCAGATAAGTAAACGGGGATTTTATTTTATATATTTTTTTCTTTTCATGTATCCTAGAACACAACAGTTTCAAAGACAAACTGTCAGAGTCTAGCAGTATTTGCTGATAAAAGTATTATTTTGTATCATTTTTATAGCTCTAATTACTGAAATGATCATGCTCTGGGTGGTTTAAGAGAGTCTGCGTTCATACTAATTTCCACTGCCAATAGCATATTTTGTAATGTATAGGGACAGTCACTTCTTAGGAACCCCCAAATGTGCATATTTGGAAAATCGACGCAAATAGTGAAATAATAGCATTAGGAGGATCTGTCAGGTAGACTGATGGACTGATTCGATCTCCGTGAGCTTCAATGAGGAAATCCTAAAGATACTGAGGTCTGAGAAGATACTTTGAAACTAACCAGTGTTGGATATGTTTTAAATGTTATCCAAATCTTAGCAAACATGGCTGTACACCAGAACACCAAGAATGACCAACACTATCTCTTCTCTGTTGTAGGAGCACTTTGTCATTGATAACTATCAATTTGTCTATTGATTAACAAATAACCCCTTATTGTGTATTATAATACACTACTTGACGAGGTGGTAGAAAGGTTATATACCTCATACAGTGAAACGCAGCATCATTATTGATGGCCAGTTAGAAAAACGTTCTTCCAACATATAACATTGTGTAAGGAACATGCCCGTTTTTACAGTTAACCTTTGCTTGGTGCCAGTTACCCTAGTGTTTATTCTGATCCCTTAGCAGCCAGAAGTCCAACTGCAATAGCAGCACAGAATAATTCCTACTGTGTACAACTCTGTACATTTTAAAGAAGGTGAAAAGATATAATCTAATACTATTTCATGGATCTGTCCATATAAAACAAGGCTCCATGCAGTAAAAATTAAGTTTTTACTTAAATGCACACTGTAGTCACTATAACCATTTCATCTCATTGAATTAGTTATAGTGCCTGAAGTCCCATTGCATTATCCCTCCATTCAGTGTTAAACCATTTTTTGATCATTTTAAACACTGAACGAGGGTCCTTGGCTTCCTCGTAGTCCTGCCCCCACTGGAGGTGTGGCTAAAGCAGAGATTACACACTTCCTCATAGCCATACTGATTCATAAATGCAATGGCACTGTGATAGGCTGAATGAAGTCAGCTGACACTCTCAGCAAATCATAAATTAAATAAATTTTATTTGTTTAAATAGTTAATTATAGAAGAAACAAACGTACAGCCCCTAAAATCTGCTTCATTATTGCTATACATATTATATTCTAATAATTCTGTAATTTCTTCTAAACTGTGCATTCTTGGTACACAACAAAAATCAAAGGAGAACAATTTAATTTGTACATCTCCGTCACCCCATTAAGAATTAAAATCTGTATTGGAATCTGTATTAAGATGTATATTCAGATTCCAATCAATTTACTCTTTACTCAATTATGACTTGTGAATCCACATTGAATGCATCATAAAATAAAGACCTAACATCTGCCGAGTCCTACCATACAAAATAACATGCATAATCAAGCCATAGCCAATCAGAGAGTCCCCCAGGGCAATTCATGTTCTAGAGTTAAAATTGATTGGTTACTGTTGGTCTGTGCATGAATCATGTATGGGGAGTCAGGACTCGGTGTGACATTAGGGACCACCACTGAGATCTGGTGACAAGCAACTAATGCTGAGGTCCATCATGGGACATGTGCTAATAGTAGGTGGATGCAACAAGTGTTAGACTGTGTTAAACAGCAAGAGGACAATGGGTAGCAGTATTAGAAAAGTACTTTCCCAGATTTAATTTGGTTTTAAAATGGTCTTTCCCAATTCAATTTGAGATTGTTATCCTGTTATCCCAAAATTTTATATTCACTGGACCCTTCAGTGGATAAAGACTGTTCATCTGAAATGACATGCCATTAAATTCCACATCCAATGCTAGAATTGTTTTTAAGATCTTGGGTGTTATTGGTATAATAAGTGGTTTGCTGCAGATGACTAAAATTGCATATTTGTATTTTTTAATTGTGTTACTTCAAAATTAGTTTATGATAGGAGAGCTGTCTGGAGCAATCTTCATGGATCTTTACCAGAATGTCTCTACTGAAGTAATTTTTTTTTCACTGTATAAGGAAATTTTGTGGTTTCTCTCAAAATTATACTTGGCATCATCAGTGATTGGATGTCTCTTATCCTAGAGTCATTTGTGCTAAATGTCATACCGCACGATATAAATCACAAAGCGAGTTAATCCTACCGCTTGCAATCTATGACTGATGGTATTTTTAATTCAGGGGGAAATTAAACCGGAATCTTCTTAGAGGATGTTTCTTCTTAAAAAACAATCTCTCTCCCAAAACTCTCTTTTCACCTCCAGGGAGTCATTTGCTATTTTAGTTTAGATTATTCTGAAATATTCCAACAAAAGCCCATAAATATCTAAGGCTAAAATTCTGTGACAGTCCCTGGGAGCTCGAACGGCAATTTGTCGACTGTAGTCAGATATATTTGTCGCAAACACTTCTAAAGTACACTGGCACATGTGCTCTGCCGTACTGTTTTTCTGGAGAGTAAAATAGTTATAGCTTCAGCTGAAGTTTTTTTTTGTTTGTTTCCAAGTTAATTGTCAAATTCTCCACAAGTCACCATTGTGTGAACAAATCTTTTATATTGATTGTTAATGTCAAACATTATTGAAGAAACAGAAGAAAAAATATTCTGTTAACTCTTTGACTAAACCTACTCTCACTTCAAAATATATTCAGAAAAATAAAATAATAATAAAATGTTTTTAAAATAAAATTCTGTTTCACCATTGATGGTATCAAATTTAAGAAGAAACACCTCAATGAAGATCAGTATACTTCTAAAATGTATTACTATTAATATTTCTATTTTCAAACTTTTTACATAATTTAGTGCTGGGGTAGTTAGCATTCTGCTCGTCCAATGTTGTGGACTACATGTTCCATAATGCTGGCAAATCATTAGGGGAACTGTAGTCCATAACATCTGGAGAGTCTAAATGCGCTTGCCTTTGTTCTACAGCATTGAATATGTTTATGAATTGTTCTATTGACACCAGATCTTAAAGATTTATAGCAGAGCACCCAAAGGCATTGCTCCCTTAGTTCGGTGGAACATGGTTCCACCTAAGTTTTACCCGGTGCTCTTCACACACTGGCAAATTCTGCTCAATTGTACATCAGACTCCCCCATTTTTATTACTACCAACCTTTGTCACTACAAAATTTAGTTTCCATGAAAAACTCTTCTTCTTATAAAAACCATAAAAAAAATACTTCAATTAAAGATATTATATTATTACCATACCTGGGAACTTGACCCATTTTTATACGGAATCTCCGGGTTTGACAACAAGTTGCTCTGTTTTGGGGGACTTCTGTTACTTCACCTATTCCTTTTGGGACCAAAATATAAACCACCATCTATTTTAGAGAGGGTTCTTTTTAGATGCTCGTTTTCAGTTTCTTCTTTTCATCCTATCCCTGTATTTGGAGATTTATGGACAAAGAGTATTACAAAGTATCCAGATATCAATAGGAGTATGCCCCTTTAGCAAAATTGACTGTAATTAAATAAACAATAGTACAAGTATACTTTTTTTGCAAGTTTAAATAATGTTTTGCATTCCTTTCCATAGCACATAGTCTGCTATTTATTTTTATTGCAGGTATTTTGAATAGGGTGCTGTATAAATTTCACATTTTATTATAAGATGTTAAACTGGTAAAGAAAGATAGTTATTTATTGAACGTTGCAAGTTCTCAAATATCAAGTAGAATTACACTAAATATAACAATACTACTCTCACTCGATCTATATAGTTGCAATTATCTACATTTGAATAAAAAATATATCTCTTTAACCCTGTATAATAGAGAACAATATTTTGCTTCTTCCATTTAAAGGGTTAAGCTAAATACTTTTAATCTGCAGCTTTGCCTCTGCTTCAATTGTGTTAATGCTGCCTCTAACAAGTTTATATGCCCGTTCGGAAAAAAGGGAACCACACCTAACAGCTTATTGGCTGCATGCTGGGAGGTTAAAAATAGAAGCGTAGATACATATTGGCTAGATTTGGCTGGGCCATTTATCTTGTTGTGGTTAGTTATTTGGCTGGGAACATTTTCTTTCTTGAGATCACTTTGTCGTTTATTTTTACTTACATTAGTTTTACAGATGACGGTTTGAGAGATTCTATATTTGTAGCAACCATTCTACTGTTTCATCTGACCCTCTCTTGATGAAGGTCAGAGTATAGTAGGGTATTATTATAGTAGGTATATTTGACTTGGTTACTCTCCGGGGAGAATCCTGCGTCAGTATGGCCTGTGATTGAGGTAGATTATGGTTTCTACATCTAAGATTGGGTGAAAAAGATTGGATTAGGTTAGATGGAGCACATAGAGGTTTTTACTAAGATACGTTATTTTAAAGTGCTGTGGAATAAGCTGGCGCTATATAAATAATAACCAATAATAATACATAGACTATTTAAAATTTGCATACCCCATGTAGACTTGCTTCACCCCAGCAATCCAGAGAATCCTTTACTAGGATGGGTGTCTGTGGACCCTTAGGTACTACCTTCTCGTTCTAGAAGGTTGGATGACCGTAAAAGCCTGCAGTTACACCAGCAGAAAAATTACTTAAAGGAACACTATAGTGTCAGGAATACAAAAATGTATTCCTGACACTATAGTGCTGGAATATCTAATTAGGTCCCACTCTCTGTGAAGATTAAAGGTAGTTTACATACCTTTTATCTCTCTAAATGCTTGTCTTGCCACAGCTGGCTCAACCTCCATGACTAAGATCATCAATCTATGGGGAATGTTCAGCGTGGGGACGCTGAACACCAGTGCTGCACACTGTGCAGCACTGGACTGTGAGCACCTCTAGTGGCGATCTGAGTGACTGTCACTATAGGTGTTACTTGGCGGCAATGTAAACCCTACTGTTTCTCAGCAAATGCAACGTTTACATTGAAAAGCCTGCAGGGACATGCTAAAGAACCCAGAACAACTACATTAAGATTAAGACTATAGTGTCCCTTTAAGAAAGAGGAAAAGTTCAGAAAGCCCCTTTGTCTATTCTAACTAGGCTTAATAACAAGCTGACTAGTCTGGGTAATTCTTTAAAGTTAGAAATTAGTAATCTAGGATTTTATATTTCAACTACCAATTGCCATATGATTCTGTGATTACCACTAGCTAGCAGGGATTGAGGATTGTTGTGGGAATTAAAGAGGAAAAGTGGCATGTTGCTTGGAGACCCTGTAGGTGAAAGATATTAAGATAAATTCAATGTGAAATGCTACAGATCTTTTAGAATACCCCCAAATATAATGCAGTAGGAATAATTTAGTGTTGTCGCGTCCCTCCCTTAGACAGCCACTAGAGGCAGTGTTAACCCTGCAATTTAAAGATTGCAGTTTCTTTGAAACTCCAATGTTTTCAGCTGCAGTGTAAAGAGGACAGGGTCACTGCACCTACACCTCTTTGACATGAAGTGGTCTTGGTGCTTATAGTGTCCTTTTAACTATTGATTTTACATTAATGGGCAAAGATTCATATATAAAAGCTATTTCTAATGCAGTCGGGAAGTCACTTGGAATTTGGTGTGACTTTAAAAGATGAAGAGACACCAAAGCTTACATAGTGGTTTTGGTACGTTGATGCTGTCCATTTACTCTGACATTGTAAAATCTTGCCATTTCTAAGAAATGTCAGTATTGGTTTGAAAACAGCCTCTAGATGTACTATCTCCTGAACACCTTCAACCTTCCAAGAAACTCACATTTGAATACATTTGAATGTAGCTAATGCTTAATTTTAACTTAAAAAAGGCAAGGGGACCCATAAATCTAACAAGAATAAGGAACAAATCTCCACATCTCATCGTAGCCGTGTCCCTCACCATGTCACAAGAAGCTTATAGGCTGTGAAGGATTGAGGCTATAGTGATAGAATTGTAGATATAACTGCATTCAGGATAATGGCATGACCCATATTTAGGGGAGTTACATAAATGTATAGCAAACGTACAGTACACCCAAACAATGAGCCGAAATTCCAAATCATGCTATGTTCATAGAATTCAGCTAATTGACATGATAAACAGATTGATAGGCTCCTGATGGCGACTTTCTCTGAACACTGACCCCCTAGCTTCGTTCTTATGAAGTTCAAAACCGTGGGATGAGGTCCTATTCGTTATGTGACAAGAACATGCATTTTGAATTAAATTCAACCCTTAATTACAGAGGGCTGCTTCCCTGTAGCAAATTTGATATCAATAATGATACATTTCCTTCTGTATACCCAGTGCTGCATGTGCCTCATTAACCAACCCTGCCTGGCTTTAAGTTGGCACAGCGTGTATATTGCCCTGGGGGACTACTGAGCCCTGCCGTGTGCGCCAACTAGCGGAATGCTTTTAAATGTTTCCATTTTCTACTATTGAATTTATTGAATGTATTGTCAAGTTGCCAGAGTCATTGTTTTTGTTGTTTCCTGCCCAATATTCTCTAGACGGTAACTCTGGCAGAGGAAAGAATTAACTCTTTTATTAACCTCAAGGTTTAAACATGAGGTTAATGAAATAGTAAAGATAGAACATTTGTAAAATGCTGCATAATACGCGCTTTTTAATTTAGTTACTACAGCGTGTCACTGATGTAATGGCTAATATGGTATCATGCGTTTTTATTCAGAAAGTGGCAAAAATTACAGTGGGAATATAATTTTATCGAAGCCTGATTTAAGGATTCAAGACTAGACTTCATGAGATACAGAATGGCGCATTTTTTTAGCACCATTTTTAGTGGGTAGCACAACACAAACACGCACAGCCGCGTTATCCAAACCCACGTATACACGCATTGCCTACTCTCTTACATACTTCTCTCCATAATGTCTTCTTATTGTAGATGGTGGGAGCATGTGGGGCTATACTATACGTGTCTTCAGTCTTAAATCGACCTCCGATTACATAATTTACAGGAAAGCTCATGCTGTGAATTTGTCATCTTTTAACATAAACACTGATAATAGATTAGAACTGGAATCATGGTTTTATTGCAATGACCATTTAACTAACAATTTTAGGAAATCACATTAATGTATATTTAAAAAAAAAAAAAAAAAACTAAAAAAAGGACAGAAAATAAGAACCACCGTGGCCTTTTGCTTAATTTGGCTTCACAGGGAATAGATGTGTATATTTATCAGTCTTTCTTTGTCAATGTTTATTTAGAATTAGTTATATAGGTAGGCGTGCATGTGTTCTATATTTGTCAGGACTATTTTGTATTTACTGTGCAGTAAATTCATTATAACAACTTTTTAAAGGGAACACCGCTAGCAACCCTTTAACCCTTTGGGTGCCAGAGAGGTGGGCAGCTTATTTAATTGCTGAACCCCCTCTAACGCTCAGAGGTTTAAGAGAGTGTAGTTGAATTAATGCATGTACTGTTAACTTTTTTCACAGGTTTTGCAAACACAAAAAATTACAAAAAAATATTTCATGGGATCTTCCAAACTTTTACTGAATTTATGTGGGGGGGACTGGGTTAATCAATTGTTTGTTTTATTTTTGAAAGTGTTACTTGTTCTTGTATTTACTTGGACAAATCTATTCGTGGTAACTTCTCTTTTGTATAAAATATGTGCACCTGTACGTTTTGCAGATTCAAAGAGGGGTATTTGAATATGCATTTTTAAAATGACATTTCTGTGTGATCCTTGTCATGTTTATATATCTAAATATACATATAACATACCTCCCAATATACAGGATGGTCAAAGCTGGACTTTTAGGGGTGTAGCATCAGTGGGTCAATATGCATGCACTAAGCTGATACATTATTCCAACCAGTTCCGTGTATGCATGATGACATCTATGTATATACATATATATGTAGACTCAGGACTTTCCCTCGAAATCCAGGTTACTTGGGAGTTATCATATGTATATTCACATATATACACACATAGTTTGTAGTGGTACTGATGTTAAAAGTTGAACAAATGTTTAAAATATATATATATTTTTTATTGTTAGATTGTTTTTTGTTTGTCAGTAGAAACTTCTGCATTAGATTGTTTTTTGTTTGTCAGTAGAAACTTCTGCATTACTTTTATTAATAACCAATTTCCATTCATGTGGGAAAAGCTGAAATCCAAGAAAAAAACTAAAACAAACGCTGGTTTGAGCTTTATCTAAACTGACAAAGATGATTCAATTTTGATATAGTGTATTCAAATGGGGGAACATTGTAGGTCTGCCCTTTAAAATGCATAATGCTGTGTGCAATGCATTGTAATTCATGATATTGGTTGCTTCCTCCCATTGCTGTTAACTCTGCATGACTGCATTTTCTCAGACTGGAGACCTCATCTTCTATATATATTAGTTGGCAGGAAAGGGATTGGTTCCAAAAGGGATAGAAGTAGACCACGCTCAAGGTTGACAGGAAGAGATGCATTAAGGGATGGGGCTTTATCTGCATTGGGAACGGTAATGGGTGACTCTGCCGCTCTTGTACTGCCACATGCTCGTAGTTCTCAGTAATGCATGACTCTAAACCGGTCTGCATGTTGAATGAAAATATTGTTTTTTATAAAACTAAAAGCATGAATTCCCTAATATCCATGGTGATTACATTTGCTATGTTAAGTGACTTTGTCTACATGACCTGCAGTGCCACTTAGCTCTCTTTCTCTCTCTTTACCAACGTTTCAGCAATATCTGCCATATAATGTTAATAATAAACCTTTACGTGAATGAGACCGCCACAGGTCACTGTTCGTGATGAAGGGCCAGCAGTGATTTGATGTAAATCATGTTTTTATGAAAAAAATCAACAGAGACAAATTCAAATATGTTACTGGTTCTAGAACATAAAGCAAGTAATGAGTTACATTTAGAGACATAAACAATACAGCTTATCTGTTTTATAAGCTGTATTCTCATAAAAAAATAAATGTATTCTAATTCTCTGTTATTGGAATTATTGTCAGAATTGAGGAGGAATCATAACATTTTAGGCCAGAATAGTAAAATTGGAGAAAAAAATACCAGGTTTTTTTTTTTTTTCAAGTCCAACTTTTTTTTTTACCAAATTTTCAAAAGTTTCTGGTTTATTAGAATAAAACAGTGTTGGATACAGTACTACTTATATTATGGACCGTGACAAGAAAAATATTTACAACTCAAAAGTACAGGATAGTCTTCTTAAAATTGAAAATGTGCCCTTATTAGAACAACCAAAAGGCAATCTGGTAATGTTTGGATTTAAAAGTGAGTCTTTTGTCAAGTACACATTTTACCACATTTGACCACATTTGTCAAAATGTCAATATTTATTTCATAGCTGTCATTGGTTGCTTCTTTGTTTTCAAAATTCTTAGAGGGAACATGTTGTTACCAAGGAGCCTCCGTAGGTCAGTGTTACATTTCAGTGAAAAATTATATTTGTTTCAACCACTCCTTACCCAAATTAACCTCCTGTCTGTACATTTCTGACCACTGAAGAGGATACCATAACCAGACAAATTTTACCCACTACACCATATAAGGACTCTGAAGCTTTACTTACCGCCCACTGACATGATGTGTTATGGCTCCTGATGTTGGTCTACCAATGAGAAAACAAGGAAAGTGGCACTGCAGCTGTAATTTTAGAAAAATTTTAATTTTATTTTTGCTGTTAATTTTTGTTCAGGGCATTGAATAAAAAAAAAAAATGTATGACCACTGTGATTTATTTAAAAAATAACAATAAATAAGCTTTGTGATTTTTTTTCACAATACTTTGTGGTCAAAAATATATATTTGTGACGGTAATATTTTCAGTGCCAAATATATGAGCAGTAATGTCTGACAAAATAAAAATAATTACAAAAAAAAGCTCTTGTGTTATAAATTTATGAAATATATATATATTTTTTTTCTGTTTTTGTATGTATTGTAAATGAATTTGTGACATTGAATCATTTCATACAGGAATTATAAATTGCAACTGGCAGAACCATTGTTTTATTTTGGTTCTATAAGTTGGTAAAAAGCATGGAATTGTTTTCTATAAAACTGTAGAATTTAGTCCAGCTGTTCTACATGCTGCCTGTGTATTAGGGATGTGCATGGGCAAAAAGTTTGGTTTGGAAGTTCAGGTAAGTAAAACTAATTGTCTGCTTCGGCAATTCGGACCAATGGCATTAGCCTTGGTTCAGCACTTCAACTGCGTGACACTGCATGGGACAAACATCCAATGCCAGGCAGTGAGGGAGCAAAGTACTTACTGTGCTCTTGCAGCACAGCTCCCTTGCACGTCCTTCAGGGTCCGCTGGCAGCCGCAATGTGACGAGTACAGGATATGATGTAATTGCACAAAATGAATTGACTTATTGTTCAAGATTCCGGTCATCATTCACATAATTTTCCTTCCCTCTCTCTTGTTTTGCCACTTTTCAGAAATCCAAACCACTAATGCACTTCCGAACTACCAAACCTCGTCGCTTCGGGACTTTGCCACTTCAGACATTAGTAAGCATCCGAATGGCATGAAATTTGTACGAATGTACATTCGGAAGAAACAAATCGCACATGTCTACTGTGTATTAACTTTTGTCAGAACTAGAACATTACCTAGTGGCCTGTTAACCGCAGTCTTAATGTCACGCACACAGAGTGGTATCCTTAAAGGAACAATATAGGGTCAGGAACACAAACATGTATTCCTGACCCTATAGTGTTAAAACCACTGTCTAGTGTCTTCCTCTCCTCCCCCCACCCACTTGTACCTCCATTGCCTGTTTAAATATAATAAAATCACTTGTATTCTGCAGCTCCTGCCTCTGTCCCTGATCTGCCTGCTTGACACAAGTGATTCTGTGAGCCAATCACAATGCTTTCCCATAGGATTGTCTGAGACTGTCAAGGAGGCAGATCAGGGGCAGAGCCAGCACAAGTCAAACACAGCCGTGGCCAATCAGCATCTCCTTGCAGAGATGCATTAAATCAATGCATCTTTATGAGGAAAGTTCAGTGTCTCCATGCAGAGGGTGGATACACTGAATGGCAGTTACACTGTGCAGCACTGCCCCAGAAAGCACCTCTAGTTAACCTATGAGGAGAGGCCAGTGGAGGTATCCCTAGGCTGTAATGTAAACACTGCATTTTCTCTAAAAGGACCTTGTCTACTGCAAAAAGCCTGAAGTGAATGATTCTACTCACATATAAATACAATAAGCTGTATCCCTTTAAATAATCTATTTACTTACATTTTAAATAATTTTAAAATATTCTTCAAAATTCTTCTAAATTTAAAAACAAAAATCCTCAACGGTTTTATTTTTTTTCTGATTGTTACTATAAACATAAGTTTTGTTTGTGAATTTAAAAAAAAGTCATGGAGAATGGCTTTTAACTGTGGCATATTTTCCCCCCCCCAATGTTTGTAGCCATCATAGGTCTTTGTCATGGACAAAATGCTATATTCAGAGGTAAGAAAGATCCCGGTGATCTAGAATTAAGTGTAACCTTTTATGGGCCAATAACATTTTATGCCATCATTACAATGAATGAGGTTTATCCCGTGACATATGGTCCTTATAGACCGATTGCAAGTAATGTGCAGAATCATCACTGTAGTGACCTTACAATGCCAAGCAGGTAAGCTCAACGCTAACACCCTGTCATCAAAGATGAATGGATTTGGATGAATACAGACACTTTGACCATAACTATTATGGTAGGCAAATTAATACTGTTATAAACTCAAAGTAAAAATAAAATAAAAAATTACAAGTCTTCAAGTTAGTCGAACACCATAACCACCCTAGATTGCTGAGTACCAAGGAAACCTCCCTTTAAGTAGTAAAATCATTTTGTAATGGTTTGACTTCCTACCTGTTGTTCACCATCACTACTCCCCACTTCGACTATAACCAATAGAAGCGTTAAGTTCCTGCACCGCCAACAGTTTTAACTCTGGCTAAGCTTATGGCTCTCTGTCAGCTGTAATAAAGGTAGGGAGCCGTTGTCCATGGAACTCCGGTAAAAAGTAAGAAGCGCAAACTTACTTCTTTAGAAAAACTTATCAATTAAACTGTGAATAGCTTTCTCTCCCCGCACCCTGATTCCTCTCCTGAAACTGTCATTAAAACGAAACACTAAGCCCTCCATGAATACTATCCTAGCAACCTACTTTCCTCCCCTACCCTTACCTTTTGTGTCACTATACCGCACTCTCTCTACCATGTAAGGTCATTGAGCAGGGCCCTCAACCCCTCTGTTCCTGTGTGTCCAACTCGTCTGGTTACAAATAAGTATCTGTTAGTCCACCCATTGTACAGCGTTACGTAGCTTGTTGGCAATTTATAAATAATAATAATAAGTAGAAATGTTCTAAAACAGTTTTACTATACATACAATAGGGGAAAGGAGGGTGCTAGGGCACTCATGAAACCATAACCAATACATCACTCTGTAGTGGTTATGGTGCTTAGGGTGTTCCTTTAAGTGTTCAATTTTGGTAATATTGTGGTGATGAGTGAGGGAATAATCTAAATTATATTAAAGACAGGAAGCTTCATATTTGCTTAACCTTCTTTACTGAAAACCTCCAGCAGCAAAGAACCAGTTAACGTAACTTTTCAGAACAACCAATCAGTACAAAATAATAGCAGTATAAAACCACTTACGCAGACCCACCCACTTCCTCTTTCTTTGATGAGGTCGAGTAGGAGAGCATGAAGACCAAACAAATTCAACTGTAACAGGCACACTCAGAGAAACAGCCATAACCAGAATAAATCCAGATTACACTGCAAGGGAAAAGAAACATTGTAAAAGTAAACTGCCAAAGCAGAATGTCACACCATATACAGTAGTACATCAGCGAACTACGACATGAGAAATAAAGCACACGGACAACCAAAACTGTAGTATAAAATAATTTATTAATCAAGCATGATACCATACATCAAAAAGTGAAAAGGAAAAAAGAGATAGTAATGTAATCTTACCCCTGAGCGGGGCTTAACCCCTAGTGCAGGGGTAGGCAACCTACGGCACTAGTGCCATGTGCGGCACTCAAGGTGTCTTTGCACGGCACTCAAGGCTGCTAGAGCCAAACAGGCATTGGCCTATCAGGAGTCCCAGTGAAACTTCAGATATCTGCTAATACGAAAAGATGGTTGAGGACAATCCTCAATTTATGCATTGCTCCAGCACTTGTGAATGGGAATCCACACTGTAGTAGAGCAGCCTGCAGCTGCTGTTGCAGCTCCTGTCCTTAACCTGTATCTGGCCAGCCTGGAATCCAGGGAAGCCATCCACACTGCTAGATATACACAGAAATGCAGAATAACCCTCCCCTCATACAAATAATATAAACAGCCCACACACAAACACACACACAATCCACACAAATGCAACACCACTAACAATCCACATACATGCACACAACCCCACATGCAGCCTCTCACATGCAATACCCCAAACAGCGCCATTCATACACACACTACCAAACACACAATGTGACATTTCCATCCACACACACAATTCCACAAGCAGCCACCATACACAGCCCACATTCATATGTATCATACACGATACCACAAACTACTCCTGAACATATACAATATAATAGCTCATATATGCACAAATACAACGATACAAAGCAATTACAGTATAAATAAAACAAGCAGAATACGGCAGCATACACACCTCAATTTAAAAAAAATAGGATCGGCACGCTATGGGACATCACAATACTACATCGGCACAGTGCTACTAAAAGGTTGCCTACCCCTGCCCTAGTACAACGAAATGCACTACAAAACTGAAAAAGGAAGGGAGACAGGAGAGAAGGCAGGATAAATGGTAAAGTGTCCTGCAGAGTGGAAATTCCCTTGTTTAACCCCTCAAAACCGGAGGGCGTACTATTACGCCCTATTCTAAGCGGCTCTAAACGCTGCAGGGCTTAATAGTACGCCCCAGGGGCGTACCTAGAGCATTTGGCACCCGGGGCGGATCCTGTGCTTAGCTTTACACCCAAAAAACCTGTAAAAAATGTTAAAGGTTTTTCTTTTATTTTTACAATTTGTAAACTTTGCAAAACCGCTGTCAGCCCCTCCTACAAAACCCTTGTCCTGCCCTGCCCCTCCTACAAAACCTCTGTCCTGCCCCTTTTACAAATCCTGTACTGCCCCATCTACAAAACCCCCGCAACCCCCTTCCACAAATCCCTGCTTATCCCCCCTTATAAAGACTCCTGTCCCAATACAAAACCCCCGCCCCCTTCTACAAAATCCCTGCAGCCCCACACACACATTTACAGGCAGACAGTCACACACTCAGTTACAGACAGACAGTCACATACAGTCACAGGCAGACAGTCACACATACACATTTCCTCCATGCGGCCAGTTTATCAGCTGTTTGCTTGTGTGAGCTGTACTGGCCGCACGGCACCCTAACTACCATGGGACACTGTGCGGCCACAGCTCACACAGCCCCCTCCAGCCAGGGCCGGTGCAAGGATTTTTGCCACCCTAGGCAAAAGTAAAGTTTACCGCCCCCCCCCATGTGACATCACAATGCCCCACCCATATGATATGCCATGTTAACTAACACCAGTGCTGCAGTGCCGCCATGTTTACATTAAAAGGCCTGCAGGGACAGGCTATAGACACCAGAACCACTACATTAAGCTGAAATGGTTCTGGGGAGTATAGTGTTTCTTTAATGTGAGGTAAATTTGAGCTTAGTGCCACGAATAATATACTAGATTGCCTACTTACAACCAGATGAGGATGATGATGGGCTCTAGCTGCAGTCTGGCTCCACTGGTCTGGTGTAGAACAGGCTCTCTGGAGGCTGTTTGTAACTGTGGTCACAAAAT